AAAAACCCCCGTAAATCCTCTCAGAGAGGATTTTCTCACATTTTCTGTTAGGAAAACTAGCGCAACACACACTGATGCAATTGGTTTACATATTTTCGGTGTTAATAAATAATTTAAATGCAAATTGATTTGCATTCAACTGCACTTATTGTTAGTATGCATCAGTGTTGCTCTATTTTCCCCAGTGGAAAACGCTATGATCCCCTTCCCTCCCCCCTTTCACTAGTTATTTTTGATAACCCAGAAGTTTTATCGATCATTGCTGGATCCTAACGTTTCTTTCTATCAATATGCAGATTAATCTTGATTAAATTATATCTTTTTCTAGTTCTAAGAATTAGAAAAGGATAAAGAATAAATTATATAAATCGTTTATCTGTTTCCACAATTTTTGTTTAAAAAAAAACCTATGTTTTCTAAGACAGTCTGCAAATAATTCTCATCTTCTATAATAAACTCCATCCCAGATAACATTTATATTACATAAGATATCTAAAAGTCGTCTTTAAGCTATTTAATTTATATATTCCAAGGATAACAAGAAAGTTAAAATAATGTCATATTGACTAAATCATGAAAAAATGCCATAAATTCTGTCAATAATCAGTCAATATGTCAAATTGACATTTTGACTTTCTTATTCACCTTGAGATGATCTCGATTGATTTTTTACATTATAGTATATATAGCAGAGTAGGTTGAATCATAACTTAACAAAAGGGAAATATACAGGGTGTCCCGTAAGTTTTTGTCAACCGCTTTTGTATAGATAGAGCGGACTAAACTGAGTCGAAAAGTCCTCTACCGTTTTGCAATTTTCGCAATGGTTAACGAGATATTAATTACTAAAAATCACTGAATATTGGTGTTCAATAATTATTTACTCAAATACTATCAACTTTACAGAAAAACAGCAAGAGACAAAAATTGTTTATTTTCTTCTCATAAAAAATTCTGAGAATTTTTTAAGAATTTTTTCAAAATTTTTTAATACTGTATTTTCTCATGTTGGTAAAAATAAGAAAATGCAATACTAAAAAGTTCAATAAAAAATTCTGAAAAAGTTTCTAGAGTTCTATGAGAAGAAAATAAATCATTTTTGTCTCTTACAGTTTTTCTGTAAAGTTGATAATATTTGAGTAAAAAATTATTAAAGATCAATATATATTCGGCAATTTTTAGTAATTAATATCTCGTTAACAATTGCGAAAATTGCAAAATGGTTGAGGACTTTTCAACTCAGTTTAGTCCGCTCTATCTACAAAAGCGGTTGACCAAAACTTATGGGACACCCTGTATATACTGAATTTGTCAGAAATACTTTTGCGAATACTAAGAAAGCAGGAGTATATTATCTTTCTTGCTTTCTTATCAATACGATTATCGTTGAAATTATTCCTTGTGTCTCGCGCGACAATAACAGTTTACGAGAGATAATTAATACTTAAGCAACAAGTAATTGTTAGCATTCAAAGAATCGTTAGATATGGACTCACATCAAACGTGTTTATTAGCGATGAGAACAAATAAGAAAAAATTTTTCTGCGGAGAGTATAAATAGGATTATATAACGTCATTTTGACGTTAAAATAAATAGTAAATGGAATGATTGAAAAATAATTTTTTAGTGATAATTTTGGAGTCATTTTGATATCATGATGATTTGTATTCTGCTTAGGGATATCCTATTTATACTCTCCGCAGAAAAACTTTTTCTCATCGCTAATAAACACGTTTAATGTGAGTCATGTGACTCGCTCGGGTCTAGCGCTTAATGTAAATAATCAATAAAAAGGATAAATATATAATAAAAGCATCACAATCAAATATTTAAAAATGCATTCATTATAGCCGTTCAATATCTGTTCGAGAATACATTCTTCAACTGAGTATGAGATGGATAATTAATGCAATGATTTTTTAATTTGGAGAAAATAGACATTGTTGTTGGTAAATACAATAGATTCCTATCAGTTAAAATTTTCAATCTCATTTTTTATACGTATAATATAGAATACGAACAACTGCGAAGCTATCGAAGCTTAATTCGATTAATTCAACTAGCTATTAATTCAGGATAATTTCTAAACCTTAATTAATATAAGCAATTATCTTATAAAGCAGTATTTATGATATTTCGTTTAATGCAGATAGAATTTTTTATTATTTAACTTTAACCCATGAAAAGTAAAGCCGAATTAAGAGCGAAAAATTACACAGCTAGAAATGTTGCTCCATGCAATTTTGCTGGTTTTATCAATCGTCGACTAAGTTAACCGGAATTTGATCGAACTCAACCAATTGTTTGTAGCTAAATGTTAAAAGTATAATACGCTGTTCTTAATCTAATCTTTCTTTTTGTCTGTCAAACGATTAAACATTAAAATAATTCGATCTATCCACGTCAAAATATTCACTCAAAAAAGTGATCTTGCAGTTATATAGCGAAAATTATCTGAGTACGAAAAATAGTTAAAATAGATAAATTTTTAACAGGTACTGCGATATTGTATATGTATTGCATCTAATATCATATAAATGACAGATAGAATTTAAATTTGTGCTATAAATTCTATATACGTATACATAATTTTCTACCAGATACAAAAAAACAGCTATAATTCTAGTTGGAGCAGCAAAATATTTTTTTGCGTGTATCTATTATTTTCGACAAATGAATCAATGGTTACATTAATTGAAATTTGATCGAAATTATGCTAATGTTTCTTGATGATTCGGAAGTGCAAACAATCTAGCTACTTTTACAATCGTAGGAACTATGTTTTATACGAAAAGAGTCCAAGAGTTCGTGAAAAAAATATAAGTACATATCCAAACAACATTCCAAGTTAAGAAAATGTTAAAATGACTTTATTTTAATGTCATGAAAATCAAAATGATGATTTTTGGTTACAAAATTTGACTGTTTATTGAAGTGAAGAATTAAAATAAAATCATTTCGATTTTTGCTGATTTTTTTTATGTTCCTTGGGATATACTATTTACCTAGGTGATCAAGGAACGTTGTTGAACTTGATAACATTAGCAGTGCTCGGTTCGCATGACTCACTTTGTCAGACTTTTAAATGCCTGCTGCGAGTTTTATTGCGTGTGGGACATATGTGGGACCGTAGTATTCCCCTCGTGATCGGCGCTAATAACTCTCGCGTCATTTTGCTCTGAATTTACCGACCTACTTTTTTGAATGGTAGAACATCGGAGCGATCAGTAGACTTCTTATCTTATCATCGTTATTATTCTACCTTTATCGTTTGTTCTTTTGTAGTCGTTTTGTTATACTTTCTGTATATAAGTCTGTTTCTTATTCCTACAATAGACTGCACTAGAATTTTTTTTTTGTTTTCGACAAATATCAATTATATACCTACTTCACTTTAAGTTCCAAAAGTGTTCAGTTATAGAAAATAGTACTTTATATTTCATCAGATGAAACAAAAAGAGAACAGGAAGGAGACAGAGATAAAGCATTTACTAACATTCTAGAATAAGCTCTCTAAAAATACGCAAAAAAAACAATATTAAAAAATAGCGATGATTAAAAAAAACATGAAGAGAAAAAAGTTAATATACAAAGAAAGTAATAAGTAATGAAGAAAAAATGTAATATAATAAAAAATATATTTTTTAGTATACTAAATATATTATGTCCGTTATAATAATATGTTTAAGGTGCAATCGTGTTTAAAAATTCTGGAAGTAATAAAGCGTTAAACGATCGATCGTTCCACTATTAGATTATTCGAGAGAATTGTTACTCCGAGTATCTCCTATCATGGCAGTCTTGAGGACATATCGCGTCACGACACCGCGATAAGTGAACCTCGCGCACGATCACGACCGATCAGTGACTTGAACGCCAAAAATCCGCGCCGAAAGCTCGCTCCGGCGAGATCACCAAGTCGGTCGCCACATGGTGATTTCAACGCTTAGGGCCCGATATTTTCGTAGTGCATCGAAATGCGATCCGGAATTTAAAGTCCAGTTTATCCGAACGTCTGTGTTCACGTTATCGAACATCGGACGATCGAAGGAAACACGCTGAATGTACGAAGAAGTATATTGATAAACACGTTTACGCAAAAAGGCTTGTACGTTGTGCAAGACTGTTTTATTTGTGAAAGATTGAATTAAAAAAATTTTCAGGCAAGCGATATCGAATAAATAACGATGATATCAAAAGTTACATCTGTAAGTTCAAAGTTTCTTCTTACATTTTACGAAGAAGAATAGTCACATTTTTACGAGATCAGAGCGCGAAAAAATATTGGCGCAGGGGCCTTATTTTCGAAGATATCGCATTATAAAGATACTACTAGAGAAATTATAATATACGTAACATATACACGTATGCTATAGTACTTGTACATTCTCGTATGCGATATTTTTCGAGAATACGCGCGCCCAGATCGCGTAATAATTCATTTAGAGCCACCAATTCGAGCGCGAATTTAAACATTCGTGACAAGAGTTGAACGAAGATAAGAAATCTGTCGCTGTACCGACGGTTCGCGATATCGACCGTAAGTATATAAATTAGTTGATCGGTCCCTCTCGAGATGACAGCACTAGTATTATTACCCCGCGTTAATTAGGGTAAATCCACACAATACGCGTAAAGAAAATTATCCAATCGCACTTGTCTTATAAAATCGCGCGTAAAATGTGATTGGATAATCTTCTTTACACATACACGTTAATGCAAGTTGTGTGGATATATCCTAAGGCGGGAGTACAGAACCTTGCATAATACATAATGCATAATAAATTGAATCAATCAAAGTCCTCCGTTTCCTTCCTTTCCATGAAACCGAAGGACTCCGACTGATTTATTTTCTCATGCTTTGTGCATTATGCGTCGTGCAAAGGTCTGTGCTGCGGTTTTTATTCCGAAAGCTCGTGGCATCGGCGATCGCACGTTCGCACCAAATCGCTCGGTCGCGAGCCGAGCGCGGCCGAAGTCGCGCGAACGCGAGACTCGGCGAAGCGGAGTGAACGTAGACGCGCTTGGACAGTGCGCGGCGCGGTGCGCGGACAGTGTAGCGGGTGAACGAGCGAGCGAGCGTTGCTACGCTGGCTTTGTGGATTTTGCCGATTTTTCCCTCGGCTGTCAAGCCGGAGAAGCGCCCTACTCTCGCGGCGCGTGAAAGCGGTGCTTCGTGAGTGACGCCCCTAGCACGCCTCGCGCGTCCTCTTCGCCGCATTGCTCTCTATTTCTCTCTCTCTCTCTCTCTCTCTTTCTCTCTTTCGAAGACGCGAATTTGTCTCTCGCTCCGATCTGTCATCCTTTCTTTCTCGCGCTCTCTCTCTCTTTCTCTCTCTCCCTGTCGCTCAGAGTCCGCGTGTTCGTCTCTTTTCCCATCGCGATACGCTCGATAATCGTATATTCGCGGACGACGGCGATCACGACTCACGACACGAGGACGGTGACGTCCGTCGCGACACTCTGACGTTTTTGCCTTCGATCGGCAGCGCGTCGCGTGTGCACCACCAGTTGCGTGTTGCGTAACTGCATTTTACAGCAGCCCGCCGCCTCTCGCCGAGTACCGCGCGGGTGCATCGGTCTCCCGTCCCTCCCGCGTCCATCCTTCGCCTAGTCACGCTGAAGAGTTTGGAGCCGCGGAACCTTGGGATCTTGACGTTTGGAGCGCACGACTTCGCTGGTGAGTTTGTCTTTTTTTTGCTTGTTTCATCTTCTTTCTTCTCTTGACGGCGCCCGTAATCCTCTCGTCTCGCGTTCAACGTCTTGAATCTTCCTCGACTGTTCATGTACTTGCTTACGCCGTCAGAGACTTCATCCGAATGTATTAGCATAGTTTGCGTGGCAACATTAGGAAAAACGAATGAGGATTATCGTAAGTTGAAGATTCACGAGATTTAAATAAAGATTCGGAAATATATATGGTAGATATTGTATCTTGGTATATATTGTTAAGTAAAAATCTTGCATACGCATAATAAATTGAACCAATCAAAGCCCTTCATTTCCTTCCTTTCCATGAAATAAAAGATTCTGATTGATTTATTTTCTTATGCTTAAAGATTGTTAAGTAAGTTGGCAGCTCAAATATACTCAAGTGATTTATTTGTTATTGTTAATATTATCATATTATTTTGTAGTAAGCCAGTAATAAGCTATTGGTAAATCAAATGTATCCAACTGATTAATTCTTTATTGTTAATATTATTATATTATGTTATAATAAATCAATAATAAGCCAACATTAAGCCAAATATATCCAAATAATTGATTTCTTATTGTTAATATTATCATGTTGTACTACACTGAAAAAAAAGATTGGCTGCTGCAGCAAATTAGATGGTAAAATATGGCATAGCATTTTTAATTGGCTACAACTGCCAATTTTGTTTGCTGCAGCCAATTTTTGGTTGTGTTAGCTTATCCGCAACGTCAGTATAGGATTTCGATTAGCTAACGCAACCAAAAATTGACTGTTGCAGTCAATTAAAAATGCTATGCCATATTTTACCATCTAATTTGCTGCAGCAGCCAACCTTTTCTTTCAGTGTATAATAAGCCAAAAATAAGCAAACATATTCAACTGATTCATTTCTCATTGTCACACAATATTATCACATTGTATGAGACAATGAGAAATGAATCACAACATATTTTATAATTAAATTTAATCTAGAAGTGTGTTGTGTGATTTAAGCTGCTTTCCTTTCAGGAAACAGAAGACACAAGTGTCATTCTACCTTCGATAGAATTCATGTCGATTATGTCGAGCAATTTAAGCTCATCCGCACTTTTGTTTCTTCCAATATTCGTTTAATTGTTAAATCGCTTTCAAAAATAACAAAAGTGCGGATAGATATAATCTTCAATACAATTCTAGACTCAAATTTAATCGTAACACAATATCGTCTGCAGTTTCTAAGTAAGTTTTTAAACAATCTTAGACTTTGCGCTTTCTCGCGATGAAATATATATACACTGAAAAAAAAATTTGCAGATTTTAAATAAATATTTACTCCAATAATACTAACGAAATATTTATTTATAGTAAATAAATATTTATTCAAAATAAAACGGTTATGTTTAAATCAAATCAATATATGTTTACATTTAGTAAATATTTCGTTAGTACTATTGGAGTAAATATTTATTTAAAATCTGCAAATTTTTTTTCTGTGTATATATTTTAATGTCTTTGTATTTAAAATAAAACTGCAATCAATAGAAAAATAAAAGACGTGAGACAAGAGAAAACATAAATTACGTTCCGTTTTTATTTATATTAATTTAATTCGTTGAGAACGATCTAGATGTATATTGATTGCTGTAATTTTGCGATCGATCGATCCGGTATTTTTCTTAATCGCCACGATAGCGCGCGTTTTTACGGCGTTTAAGCACGAATACTATTGCAGTCTCGCTCCCTCGCGCATCTGAATATGCAATATAGAATCACAATGATGTTGAAAATGAGTTGGTGTTGGGGAAGTAATGACGGGTTTATATGGGAAGAAAGAACTGTTTTTATTATAAGACGCGTTTTTGCGAAGGCACGAAGGACCAAAGGGGAGTTACTCATAGATTCGATTTCGCGGAAAGCATAACGAGCGTGCATCTCCGAAGCAGTTTTAGTCAGATACCAGAAAATATGTTTTGCATTATCGCAAAAAGATAATGTATATATGTGCATTGCGATAAACAGCTTGGATTTAGATTTTTATGTCTCGGAAAGTCAAATGTGTTGTATGTACGATAATATTACAAAGCATTAGAAATTTTGCTGCTTTAAGATAATAGCGATCGCGCCTGAATATATTTTAAAAATTATGATACAAATCTAAGCTACAGCACACGATAAAGTAACTTGAATGGACTTATGTCTGAAATTTGGTGATTAGGCTTTTTAAAACAACCGTAATTTCTTTCTCTTGAATCTATTGATTCGCCTTTTACTATTTAGACGCCTTTTGAAATTTATAAAATTTAAATTGTAATAATCTATACATTATAATCACTGCGTATTAAAAACGCTGTCATTACGATGATTAAGAACTTGTAGGTATTCTTTGTCCTTAAATTTATTTATAATATTTCTTCGAATTCTGTTTAATTTATAAAATTTATTTTTAATGTGACAATCTTGTGTCGAATTCATAAACGATAAAATTATTGCAGGGACGATTGAGTTGACAAAAAAATGTCATCCTATTTCAGTATCGCTTTATCGAAGATACGTACTTCCGTTATTTTGCTTGCGAAATGTTCGTCCTAATCGTAAATCACATGTATGCTCAAACAACAAAGGATCTCGCATACAAGTAACGAAATAAAAAATAAGAGGCTGACTGTGTACCATCAACTTGTGAAATACACACGTATACTATCACCGAAAAGTTTTTAGACATTGGCAGCGAAGAGATTTCTAGCAGTAATAACGAGAAATTTTACGAGTAAAAGTCTTTTGAATTAATTTCTACATATTTCTTCAATTTGCGTATTTACGAGTTTGGTATTTGCCGCAATTTTCCCGAATTTAACTCTCGCCAACATGTGGTCTTTTATTGTGTGTATGTCGGAAAACTTTTCGAGGATAGTGTACGTGCCGACATACACAATAGTAAACGTAACCAGTCGTCGCGTCGTGACACTGCAATGGCACTTGCATATGCAGTACGTTCGTCGACATGAAATTATCCAGTGGCCATCCTTTTGCTCTGTTCTTTTATGCCCCTTTTTTTCTTTCCTTCCGTGGCCAGAGGAGAGGAAACAAAAGGCTTCATTACCCTCGTCCGGTCTTATAAATCTTTGTGCGCGCTGCAAGAATTTAGTTTTGTTAAATTTTTTACGAGTTATCAAAAATTTAAATTCTTTCATACGACCTCCTTATCTTAAACTTCACTCATTAAGGAATAAACAAATGCTTTAATATGGTCTTAAAAATTATAGAAGAGTTATTTATGGGCGTTATGATACTTATGACTTTTTGATAAAATTATTTTACTTGATTACATTCAGTCAGCTTCTAAGCGCTCGAGATCTTATGCTGAAGTTCCCTCGCGAAAATTTGGGAAATGTGTCTTGTAATTAATAATTTGTCGACGAGGAAAGAAGTTAATTCTCGCAATCGGCGGTGATCTGCTGCCCTGTTCGAAACCGGAAGAAAGGGCATCCGACGAGCAGCGGAGTGCAAGTACTTAACCTTGCCGCGACTTTCGAACCTCCGATCGAGCGGAGTTCAAGGGAAAGGGTTATTAAAAGGCTCCCCCCCGTTTCCTCCCCCCCATCACTCGAGTAGTCATTAAAGGCGGAATCGAATTGACCCACTGCATGTCGGTTGCGATTCGTAGTGTAAACGTACGTCTGTGCCTGCATCTATGGCAGCATCTCTCGCCGCTCACACGCTGCGATCGAATTTATTATAATCATTCGGCCGGAGTATCGCGTACGCGCGCGTGTGTATATGATGATTCAACTCTCTCAAGATAGTTGAATTTCGCTGTGTGAAATTTATAGGAAGCCATATGCTTGATCAACCGCTTGTAGAAAAGCGCACCTTTGATTAATGGATGCCTAACGCTTCGCAAAACATTTTAATTTGTTGAAATTGGCTTTTTTACGTTATGTTATACCTAACATATTTTATTTTACAAGGAATTCATTAATCGCTCTATCATTTAATGCCTTTAATATCTTGAATGTTATCTGGTATACCTTCTAGAAGTACCAATGTTTCTTAATCACCAATAAAACACTAAAGGCGAATAAATTACTGTGAAAGTAAAGAGTGATGAAAAATCAAATATTTTATTTATACTATAAAGAATATGATTATTGAAAAGTAAAAAAGATTCAGAATCCTATCTTCTATACAAGAAATATAATACCCAAAAAATTGAAACGGCCATAATGCTCACAATTACTGTATTGCAGTTAAAAGGATTAAAACCCGATTTCATCAATATAAGATTAACTTTAATCTTAAGTTAATCTTTAATCTTAGTTCTATTTATTCTTAATCTTTTTCTAATTTTCAGAATTAAAAAAGAATGAACAATAAATTAAACCGAGATAAAAATTAATTTTATAATACATAGGTGGAACTGGACCTAAAGCTCAGCTTCTAATTAAAAGCATTGTAAGAAGAAAAGCTTCAAATATTTATCTCGTAACGTCGTGATATTGTGCAATGTGCACGATATGCGCGCGAATCTTCCTACCTAAATAATTCTCAAAACTCAAAGTTATGGAAAGATTACTTGCACGCGTTGCCTTAATTCCTCTCCGTTTTTTGTCAATGACTGCATCCTCGTCCTGTATGATGCACGTTACATTGCAGGTAATAAGGTAGAATCATCGGACGAATGGATAATGGGCAAGAAGGGAGGGAGGAAGTTGGGAAGGCTGCCGTGGAATGATAAACACAGCTTTTGCGTGTACTTAAAACGCATGTGCGTGCGTGTGCACGTTTGTACATATGTGTATATGTGCACGTGTGTATGGAAAGAGGGAGGAGCGGGTAGGTGGAACGATAGAGCGCGAGGAAACCGAAGGGAAAAAGGCAGAAACGAAAGGGCGGCGTACATGATGGGATAAGTGCACGTCTCTGACAAAATACCGAGGCCCGCTTACGCACACGCACGCACGTACGCAGACACGCGGGGCTCTCCGACCGATCGGCAATCC